TTTCTTTGCATTCCTGGGAGGTTTAGTGAGAGGTCCAAGAATATCTGCAGACACTCTGGCAAATGCCTCCCCTTTAATGGGTAAAGGCTGCAAGGATACTTTTCTAGGTCCCTTAAATCCTTTGCGCTTCTGACACAAGTCACAGCTCCTACAGTAGGCCATCACTGAGTCATACATAAGTGGCCAATAGGAGTTTTGCTTCAACCTGTCACATGTTCTTTGACCTCCAAAATGGCCCGTCATGGGCTAACTGGAGCAGATCTCTCCTATATCCTTAGGGTATAACTATTTGCTGACACACTTAATCAGGAAGCCTCTTTTTCCCTAAATAATAGGGCTGTTGATTAATCACAATTAACTCAAAAAAATTAATTGCGAATAAAAAAATTAATCACAGTTTTAATTGCAACTGAAATGTATTAAATATTTTGACTTTTTTTCTACATTTTCATATATATTGTATTCTGTGTTGTAATTGAAATCAAAATATTTGCACTGTAAAAATGATAAACAAAAGAAATAGTATTTTTCAGTTCACCTCATACAAGTGCTGTAGTGCAATCTCTTTTTCATGAAAGTGCAACTTACAAATGTAGATTTTTTTTGTTACATAACTGCACTCAAAAACAAAACAATCTGAAGCCTACAAGTCCACTCAGTCCTACTTCTTGTTCAGCCAATCGCTAAGACAAACAAATTTGTTTACATTTACAGGAGATAATGCTGCCCTCTTCTTATTTACAATGTCACCAGAAAGTGAGAACAGGCATTTGCATGGCACATTTGTAGCCACCAGTGCAAGGTATTTACATGTCAGATATGCTAAATATTCGTATACCCCTTCATGCTGTGGCCACCATTCCAGAGTACATGCTTCCATGCTGATAACGCTCGTTTAAAAAAATAATGCGTTAATTAAATTTGTGACTGGACTCCTTGAGGGAGAATTGTATGTTCCCTGCTCTGTTTTACCATCATTCTTCCATATATTTCATGTTATAACAGTCTCGGATGATGACCCAGCACATGTTGTTCATTTTAAGAACACTTTCGCTACAGATTGGACAAACCGCAAAGAAGGTACCAATGTGAGATTTCTAAAGATAGCAGCAGCACTCGACCCAAGATTTAAGAATCTGAAGTGCCTTCCAAAAATCTGAGAGGAACGAGGTGTGAAGCATGCTTTCAGAAGTCTTAAAAGAGCAACACTCCGATGTGAAAACTACAGAACCCAAACCACCAAAAAAGAAAAACAACCTTCTGCTGGTGGCATCTGACTCAGATAATGAAAATGAACATGCGTCAATCTGCACTGCTTTGCATCGTTATCAAGCAGAACCCATCATCAGCATGGACACATGTCCTCTGGAATGGTGGTTGAAGCATGAAGGGACATATGAATTTTTAGCGCATCTGGCACGTAAATATCTTGTGAAGCCAGCTACAACAGTGTCATGAGAATGCCTGTTCTCACTTTCAGCTGATGTTGTAAACAAGAAGCGGGCAGCATTATCTCCTGAAATGTAAACAAACTTGTTTGTCTGAGCAATTGGCTGAACAAGAAGTAGGACTGAGTGGACTTTGCAGGCTCTAAAATTTTACATTGTTTTATTTTTGAAGGCAGTTATTTTTGTACATAATTCTACATTTGTAAGTTTATCTTTCATGATAAAGAGATTGCACTACAGTACTTGTATTAGGTGAATTGAAAAATACTATTTCTTTTTATCATTTTTACAGTGCAAATATTTAATCAAAAATACAGACGCTTCCCGACTTACGCAAGCGTTCCATTCTGGAACTCGAATTTTGCGTAAGCCGGAAATGTATACCCAACCATTACGCAAAAAAACAAAAAAAAACAAAACCAAAAAACTCTCTTATTTCTAGCTTATGGAACTTTTTCTGTAAGTGCGGATTTGTGTAAGTCAGGTTTGCGTAACCCGGGGGGCCTCTGTAAGAATGTAAAGTGAGCACTGTACACTTTGTATTCTGCGTTGTAATATAAATCAATATATTTCAAAATGTAGAAAACATCAAAAATATTTAAATAAATGGTATTCTATTGTTTAACAGTGTGATTAATTGCGTGATTAATCACGATTAATTTTTTTTATCGCTTGACAGCCCTACTAAATAATATTCCCTCTTTCACAAAAGATCTTCCCTGTCCTTCCCCAGTTGGGGGCATTATTCTGCGCCTTAGCCCTGGCCTGCTTTAATGAAATATCACTCTGTTGAGTGACAATAAATTTCTTCTGAGTTTTACTTAAATCCAGAATTACCTCTGGTGCATCCATTTGCCTGCAATGAGCCTTTTCCTCAGTAGTGCATCCCGCTGTTACATGCACCTCCTATGCTCCTCCTTTTCCATCTCCGCAATCTTTTGCTTCTCCCTTAATTGAAGTTCTGTCATTTCTTTTTCATGCTCAAGATGCTGCTTGTCTTTCACTGTTTGCATTCTGACTGCTTCTGCTGTAGCTGCATCTGGGGCAGGTGAAGACTGAGGCCCTGCTTTCTGGTCACTGTCCCTGAGCAAATTTTTCAGTTCTTGATCTGGGGCTTTCTTCTTAAAGGATAAACCCCTTTGTGAGCACAAATCTTCAAGGGCTTTTCTATCAAGATCCTCATATGTTCATGGCTCACTCATTGTAACTAATCTTTAACCAGGGGTAGGCAACCTATGGCACTCTTGCCGAAGGCGGCACGCGAACTGATTTTCAGTGGCACTCACACTGCCCTGGTCCTGGCCAGCGGTCCGGGGGGCTCTGCATTTTAATTTCATTTTAAATGAAGCTTCTTAAACATTTTAAAAACCTTATTTACTTTACATACAATAATAGTTTAGTTATTTATTATAGACTTATAGAAAGAGACCTTCTAAAAATGTTAAAATGTATTACTGGCACGCGAAACCTTAAATTAGAGGGAATAAATGAAGACTCGGCACACCACTTCTGAAAGGTTGCCGACCCCTGTCTTTAACCCTTAAAACTCTCAATATCAAAATTAAATTTTGATTAGTATGAGGGTTCTGATCCAAACCCAATTAATCTGTGTTAATATGTGTCCTAACCAGACTACACCAAATGTGTCTGGGTGACTGCATGAGCCACACTGAGAATGCCACACTCAGGGAAGACTACAAGGAATAGGGCAGGCAATCCCCCCAACTGGTGGTTTATTCTATAATTAGATACACCAAGCCAGTAACAAATCTGGAGTACCATACTGGTTAACAAGAAGCCAAACACAGTCCCCTTCAGGCATTCCAGCCCTTGGCTCCCATCTAGACAACCAAGTCTAATATAGTGTGGGGTTTCTGAAAACTCTGTTCACCATACTTAAATTTATACCTATCCCAAAGTATTGGACACTTACCCTCAGGTCAATATGAATTTAAAATCTTACCCAAATATCACACTGTCAGCCAATCCTTAGTAAACTAACTAAAAATTATTAATAAAGGAAAAGAAGAGAGTTATTAATGGCTAAGAAATCATATACATACAAGTGATTTTCAGTGTTCATATAGCAGTGATGTTATATATGTTGGCTTGCAAAAGTTTCTTTGAAATTATTCCAACAGGTCAAAATTGAAAAGCAGCTTATATGTAAAGTGTATTAAAGTCTTTCCATACTATTTTCCAGGGTATTCAAAATAAATATTTGGAAGATCTCAGACCAAAGCTTAAACTTTCCCTGTTCAAAGTTCAGCAGACTAGAGATGCAGGATGAGGCCCCAGGTTCCTTTTTTTTTTATAGCTGAAGCTGAAGCATGCTGACAGGCAACTTCACCATGTGGACTGGGAAGAAAAGCATATGCTGATATCTGTGATCTTTATTCAATGGGCCATTCAAAGATAATGCCCTTTGCAAGAGCCATAAACTACTAAAATAGTTTACAGATGTTTCACAATCATAAGTTTCAAAGAGACATGAGAACAATAACATTATTACTTCCAAAGCTTCACTTAAATGTTAATATCCCTCTTGATCTAGAGAGTATAGTAATAATAGTATTACAAGACTTGAAAAAGAATTAGCATCTACAAGCTAATTTGGTTTCTTCTAACAGGACATAGGTAAACCACAGACAAATACACTTAGCAAGTATTTTTTGATCCTTATCAATACAAAGTGAATGAGTTGGGGATTGCTAGCCTAATTAAGATTTCTTTGATAACCATACATAAGTGGATTGTCTTGATTACAATTGCAATGCCTCTTGTTAAGCTGTTATAGATCCGACACTGGTTGATTTGTCTGCCAGTATCACAAATGTATTCGAGTTGCTGGGCACTAACAAAGTAATTCTGATGACCTTCTTGAATGTTTCTACTGATGCACCATACTGTTTTCTATGCACAGAAAAAAGAAAATCTTTCCTGTAACATCAGTGTTCCAATGCAGACATTCTAGACTCCATTGAATGTAACCACAATAATTACATTTGTTTCCAGTTTATTGTAGAAACTTTTACCAGGTAGATATCTGTTTTTTAAAAGCATTGTGGTATTTATTTAACAGAATAGAGTTAAATTGGGTTAGTTGTCTGTAGCTGAATATAGCAACTAATTTATGTTTGTTCCTCAAAAAATGTTAAATGTTGATAGGTGAAATTAGAAATTCTAGTGGAACTCTTGAAGATCTTCTCAGCTCTAACTGCTGTAATAATAGTTTGACTCTTAACTTCAGTACTCTGTGGAACTTTTGGTACCACTTAGAAACAAAACTGTAAATTCAAGCCAAAACAAAAAGTTTATTGAGATCATTATATTTGCTAAATGGTTGCTTATTTAATCCAGCTCATTTTTTGTGTGACTTATCTTCAGCTATCTTCTTAAAACTAAAAAAAACCTTCTTCAGGAGATATATATAGTTATAGTTACATATATATATAATAGTTGTTGTATGAATAGTCATTGTCCTCACTATGAAATCTGTGACCTGAGGACAGCTTGTACTATAATACTTAAAATGTGTGTGTTTTTTGTAAGTTCTGGTCAAGACATCCAAGGAACAAGTGTGGTTGCAAATCTTCCAGTCCTGATGCAACAGAATCCTGCAGAGACACTTCGGAGGGTTTTGCCAAAAATCAGAGTAAGTTACTAAATGTGAAGTTATGAATATACCCTTTTTCCTAATAAAATATTGCAATAAAGGCAACAAGAGAAACAACTGCTTTTGTAAGTATGATTTGAAGATCATGTTGTATCAATATTAATTAGAAGGGGATGTTCCTTATTGATCTTCCACACCAATTCACTGTATACATGGAACATGTATTTTAATTGTTAATTATCACAATTAGTATATTTTTTCCAGAAAAATGTTCTGCATTCTTCTGTAAAAATCTCAGTACTATAAAGTTTACCATTCTCTGCCAGCCTATGGAGAAATTTTTAGCCAATCAATCTTAATGGTACAAATTGGCAGGCATCATTTCCTCAGCCTCATTCCATCTTCTGTGAGAAAAGCATTGAGGTTTTTATGCTACCATCCAAAATTATATATTTTGTGTTTAGTTTTCCATGGTGTATGTAATGCCCACAAAAGTTTAATCAGCTATTATTAGTTGTTTGGTGAATTCCCTATGTGCATGGTAGTCAACCAATATGGGTATATCTTAATGGGCAAAAAAGTTGTTTGTTAGTTCAATTGAGTTAACTTAACATGATTGAGAAGCCCCATTAAGATGTGGGTTAACACATTTGTAGCCATGTACGGCTACAACACAGCCAGGTTCCATAGCTTCAAATGCATTGGCCTGCATTTTGCCGCTCTTTTCAATCGAGTTAAACTAACTCAGTTGAACTAACACTATTAAACAACACATAATTTTTGTCCATCAAGAGAGGGCCTAAGAATTTATTTTGAATGATGGGATATTTCTGGTGTTTCATTGGTTCAGTGTGTTGTCATTCAGCTGAAGTTGTAGAGTAAGCCAGAACTTTAATTCAATTTCACAAAAAGCAAAGAACAAATCTGTTTTAATAGTCAGAGCTTTCAGATTAGCCTCTGGTCTCTTAAATGCTGTTCCTTCAAACATATTTCCATCTATTTTTGTTGCTGCATTTTTTTGCATTATTTGCTTTATTTATTTATTTTTAAAGTCCAACAATAATTAGTGGCTGCTCATCGCTATTTAGACTTTGTGATAAGTAATACTTAAATTGGACTACTGCTGCCTAAGACTCAAAGGAAATACTCAGATCAAAGGGAACTGATTGCTAGCAATAAATAAGTTCTTGCAACAACCTAAGACCAGCAATGCTGATAGTTTTAGTCCTGTAAAGAATGCAATAGATAACAATATTACTGACTCAGCTCTTTCAAAGATCTCAGGCTCTCGCTGATGTAACCCTTCTGTCCGACGGAGTTGGTAGCAATAAGGGCCGGGTTCAGAATCTAGGGGTTCCGTTTCAATAACACAATTCAAAACCAGCTCGAGCCCCCACCCAGTGACCTGGGACAATTACATACCACCCCCCGGATGCCTCTAAGAGGCAATACTTCCCCTCTTGCAAGCAAGGAGTCTGAGTGTAGCAAAATCCTTTTAATAAAGGAAGGAAACAATGCGGCATTATGTTGGGGAAACACCACAAACAGGATTCATAACACAAACCATGAGCAAAAGACCCACCCCCAAGTAAGTTTGGCAGTGTCCTCTTCCCCTCAGGGTCTTAAGTCCAGCAACCCAAAAATCACCCAAAAGTCCAACAGCCCAAAAGCCTCTGTCCCTGGTCAGGGCAGCGCCAGAGTTCAAAAGTTTATCTGCAGAGTTTTACCTCCCAGCCTGGGGGGGCACGGGGGTGTTAAGGGGCACGGGGGTGTTAAGGGGCACCTAGTCCGAGGCCAACTGCCCTGCCTCTCTGTGGGGTTTTGCAGCTTGTAACTAGACTCCTAATGGAATCGAAATTAGCTCTGATATTCCACAGTGGAGAGAGGAGGAGGAGGTGCAATTGGTGTTTCGGGCCCTCAAAAGGGGCCCATACCATCAGGTACAAATGCCTGTCCCCAGCCTCTCTCAATTCACTGGGTTTTGGAACCCATATCCCTTGTCTAGCGAGTGCTACTTAATTAATGGTGAGTCCCTCTGTTATAAAACAGTTCCACTGTCCTTGATTCAGATAATCAGAGTAACAACACTTTATTCTTCCTGCCCCAATAACAGAGAAACTGGGGATCCCACAGCAGCCAAAGTGACCATTTGGGCTGCTGTGGGCTCATGCTAGGGGGGGTGGGTGTGCCTATGCAAACAAGATCAGCCCCTGAAGTTCTTTTCCACAACTCACCACAATTCACCACCAGATGTGAGGGTAGAGCTCATTCTGACTCTGCTTACATCGAAATAAAGGTAGGAGGAGTGTCAACTTGCTCAGTCTGAAACTGCGTACGTTTTGAACCTGTTTTAACATGGCCTAAACAGTCTCTCCTCAGGTACATTTTTTTTAACTTAAATAATCTGTTAGTATGCACAGTATTTAGTATCTGTTCTTTAACAGGGGAATTTCAGAGCTCCTTCTAAGAGTCTATTATGACTAAATCCCAGTATAAGTTGTACTCCTATGTCTGTTAAGATAAGGATCCCACTCTAAGAAAAGTGAATGTATCAGAAGAGGAAAAAGCTGATGATTCAGCCAGAATTTTCACATCACAAAATGTGTTGTTTCAGTTCATGATGGTTTGAAAATGTTTAAGATCAGTTACGAACCTAGAGGTTGATCTATTCTTCCCTTACCTGTTTCCGGTGTTTACCTAATGGTTAAGGCAGTGAAGAACATTGACAGAATGTGAGAGAAACTAGACTACAGGTCACCTTTGTCTAGGTCCATTGTACAGCCTCTCACTAAAAAGCAATCTGAATTGGTCTATAATTAGTAGGGTGGGTATGTCTGTATTGGACATAAAGAAATGCAACGCTAACTTAAAGACTGCTGCTGGAAAATTTAGTTCTGAAGAGCTAATTTGTGGCATATCTAGTGATTTTGAGGACAGCTTCATTTTCAACATCATTGCAACAGCTCTTTTTCAATGTGTGTAATTTAATGCTTGAGTAAGGTGCCAGACTGAAAGTCGTGGAAACTGAAGTGCTATATCCATGGAGTGCTTTAGTGCCTGAGGATTAGAAATTAAGTTTCTGTCAGTTTCTTTGACAATATGACTCATCCATCCATAGTTTGAAGGGGACCATGTGTAGAAATGAAGTTTCTTCATATCCTTGAAATCTTTGTTTTTAGCTGAATCTGCCAACATATGCGTCATTTTGATGGTGATCTTCATGATATGGTCAACTGTCTTCTAAGAAATGGATTGATATCGCTTATTTCAGACTGTTGGAAACAAATTTGGCTCATTACTGACCTGAGCTGTATTTGAATCACTGACCTCCAATAAATATGAAAAGTTTCATGTTCCATTAAGAACATTCTGAGCAATCCAATCCCAGAAACCTTTACAAATGAGGTGAAAAAAATGATTGTAACAGTTGCAAACTATTTTCTTTCTTGAATTTTTCCTTATATTCTCAGTGACAGGGGTAAGGTAGTGGGTAATATAGGAAGAGTTGCATGGCTGAGGCTCACAGGTTTTCTTATATTTTTATGATAATTTTTTCTGTACAACAAGGATGTATTAAAAAGGGTTGATGTCACAAGTTGACACTGACCCTTTAAGAGGGAGCAGGGCCAGTGCACCTGTGCTTCAACAGCTCACTCCAACTGGGTTTAAAAGAGGGCACCTGGACCCAGTGGGGGGAGACCCAGTGAGAGAGAGACTTGGTGAGTCAGGACTGCCTGAGAGCAGAAACTGGAGAAGCTAGGAAAGGGGTAAGTGAGAGCTTCTTGGGAGAGACAGTTTGTAGAGAGTGGAAATCTCTGTAGGCCCTTCTTGGGAGGATGGAGGAATTGGCTAGGTCGAGAGCAGGGAGGATAGTTTGGTGACTGTTCTGGGCTAGAAGAGCTAATGCTAGGAGGCTGAGAGCTAGGAGTCAGCAAAAGGGGCTAGCCTGCTGACCTTCCTTAGTCAGAGAGACAGTGATGGGAGGCTGAAAAGGGCTGAGGGCTAGTAGACCAGCAGAGGGTTAGTTTTAGTATCTTCCTAAGCTGAATAGTCAGTACTGGGAGGTGGAAAAAGGCTGATTTGATAGACTGTGATTTAGGCAGAAGAATCATGGGGTTGGTCACTCTCAGGATGATGGCCTAGAGGTGTGGGACCCTGGAACAAGGGCAGAAAGAAACTGGAAACAGTACTGTGAACTCACTAGCAAGGAGCTTGGAAAATCACTGTACATTTCTATGTTTTACTATGGGAATTGGGAGAATGGTTTTTACTGTGAGGGTTCTATGTATTATTGTATGTGTATCTGAGTAAATTATGCCCAAAGATGGGATTTTGAGTGGAGACTGGGAAAGACTGTGTTCTTTTTATGGCCGGACCTAGGAGAAACTGAGGCAGGTGCACGTGTCATACCATGGACTACTGTAGAAGGGTGCTCCAAATAGGGCTGCCTTCTTACAATTGGTTTCTATTCTAAAACATCTGACCAGTTCAAAATAGGATTTTTTCCCTCTAGAGAAAACTGGATATTAGCAAAATGGTCCTTCATTTCTTTTTTTCAACACTAATTTTTTTTTTTGTATTTCACTCCTCTCATTATTTTATTTTTGCAGAGACTAGCTATTTATACCAACATACTATCTTTATGGCCTTCCCTTCAGCTTTATCTGGTTTTCAGTCCACCCATTTTATACTTACTGTGTTAACAAAAGTATTCCAGGAAAACATAGACCAGGGAGCAAGACAGTACTCATAACAAATTACTTCTCTCATATTTTATCAAATTGCCTGAAGAAATAGCTTCATAGTGTGCCCTCTTTTTTCCAGTCTACTAAAATAAGAGGCTGTTTGAGAGATAATACAATATTTGTTAGAAATTAAAGCTATTTCATTTTGAATCTGTGATGCACATATTCCATCTAGTTCATTACGAGCTGTTAGATTAAAAGTGCAAGAACAAATATATCAGCAAGCCTCCTGCTCTGTAGTATATGCAATCCAGCAACGTGATTACTTGGCAGGTATTATCCTCTAGGATACTT